GCGATCAGTAAATAATACAGTAAAAAAAAGCCAATGAAAATTCTGTTTCATATTTAAAACAAATTAACGTAATTAGTTAGTAATTAAGTAAACGGTAATTTATTGCTCAAGAAAAAGAATCTTCCCGTAGATACAGACCTCTTCATCGCCACCGAACTCCGTACCATACAACTCGAAACTCCTCCGCTTCTCTGATTCTCCGCCGTCGATGTAGGCGTCTTCCCGTCGCCGTGTTCATCTTCATCCCGCCGTTGCTCCGAAGTTCCGACGCCGGAAAATTCCCCGTTTCTCTCGTCGTCTTCGATCTCCCTCAATACATCAGCGATCGACACCACCACTGTGCCTGAGTTTAACGATACCGATCTGCGTATCGTCTGCACATCTTCACCGTCCTTCGACTCCCCTTGCTCTTCCGATGGTTCTGATTGCGATCTTCCGCTAATATTACGAGATCCGATTTCCAGATCTGCGATTACGACGACGGAATCGCCGGATTGGTGCCGGTAATCAGCTATATTCGAAGTTCCTCCACCGCGATTACCGGATTCCGTCACGATTTGACGGACGGTACTACTGGATCGGTTATTATCAGCCACGGTGGTGGTGGGATTGATTCCAGTGACGAAAGCGCGGCAAAGCGGACAATTAGAGTGAGATTTCAACCAAGTATCAATACAAGGAAGATGAAAGGCGTGGTTGCATTTCGGCAACAATCTCAAGCTCTCGTTCTCTTCAAATTCACTCAAGCAAACAGAGCAATCAGAACCATCCACGAATCCATCTCCCTTTCTGTATTTGTAAACGGTGATTGATTTGATCAGTGAGTCGTTGAGGCCATCTCCGGTAGCCGCCGCATTCGAGTTTCCTTGCCTCGGATTAGCGGTGGAGGAGAAGAAACCGGTGTGATCATGAGCTTCGGAGGAGGAGGAGTTTTCGCTGTGGCGATGACAGTACTTTGAGATGAGAGTGTAGTAGCTGACGAGGACGAAGGCGGTGGCGAGGATTCC